CTCTACCTGGAAATGTATATCTGTCAATAAATTTGACGTCTTCTAACATGTTGGAACATGAAGGACTAAAATCGGCATGAATTTTCCGGACAATATATATATATAATTTCTCCACACGACCGTCTTAATCTTATGAGACGTTGTTCAAAAAACTTATTGTACTTTCTTTCTTTGGTTAGACTCTTCTGGATAGCTTTCTGTAAAGATAATTGAGTGCTTAGGTGATCAACATAAACAAATCCAATGTTAGGGATTGACACAAAACAGATGTTTTGTTCTTTCTCTAGAATAATTTCGAACAGATAACGGAATCTAAAAAAAAACTTCAGAATTTTAATTTCTCAGGACCGAAGAGATTTCGAATGTTTTAAGAGGGTGTTGAAAGCACTGTTCGATTAAATTTTTAATTTTGCCATTTGTGCTGTTTTAAGATAATTTTGAAAGGGCAGTGTTATTAAATTTTACATTTCGCAATTTGCGATATTTTAAGACAGTTTTAAATTAAATTCTGAATTTCATCCATTGCGATATTTTAATAAATTTTTGAAAGTTGAATGCGATTAAATTTTGCATTTTGGTAATTGTTAGTTTTGGGATCACATTTGAAAACCCTGGGCTATAAAATTTTAAAATATTTCGTTGACAATTGTGATTTTTGGGGATCGTATTGAAGGTCGTGTGCTAGCAATTTTGGAATTATTCTATTTGTAATTGGGATATTTTCAAAAGCCAATTTCTCGTTAATTTTTGAATTTCGATAATTGTGACTTCAATATAAATTTCAATTTTTATATGAAATCAATATTTCTACAATTTTTTACAAAAATATTTTTACCCCAAGCAAGTCAACAAAGGTACTAAGATGCAAGGGACGTTACTCAGTGTGAAAGAATATGAGAAAAAAAAAACATTATTAAGGGGAGGGAAAAATAAAAGAACAGGAATTAGTAAGACAAAAAATAACGATTGACATTGTATTCAAATTTTTGAAGATCAAAGTTAACAGGAAAGCAAGAAACCGTAAGAAAGGTCCACAAGTGAGAAGTGCGATAGAAGAAACTGTTAGCATAGAACTTACGGTTACATCTAGCCATTTCAACTGTAAAATGATAAAACTTTTCCTCCAATCTAGTGCTCCGTTTAAATTCATAAATCTGTATACAATAACTGACCTAAATTACCTCATTCTCAACTGATCTGGGCCAAATTACCTCATTCTCAACTGATCTGGGCCAAATTACCAAGTGCGTATTATGATTAGTAGAAGCATTTCCCATATTTTTCGCATAATTTTAGGTGTGCGTATTAGGGATGAAGGCGTATTATACATACGGGAATTACGGTATGTAAAATATTATATAACATAAATAATTTTATCATTTTTTAAACTTAATACAGATTAAATTTAAAATTTTAAATTGGTAATTTTTAATTTTAATTTATTATTTAGGATGAATTCAATTTTAGTCTAACCCCAACCCTTAAGTATTAAATAATTATTATAACCAAAGTCTGTCAAGTTTTTTGAATTCTCATATACTTGTATTTTGATTGGTCATTCCAGCTTATTTAACAGTATTTCCCCTAGCGAGGGATTTTTGATTGATTTGAACCTTTTAAAACTCTTTATTCTACATTCAACACCATCACTTGATAAGACACCAGAAGTGTTGAAATAAAATGGATATTTTTGTAATGATTTTATAACATATTTGTTATAATTTTCGAAAAAAAATAGTATTTTTTGGTTATTGGAATTTATCTATATCCTATACTTATCATATACTTTGGTGTGTGTGTATATATATATATATAGAGAGAGAGAGAGAGAGAATTGGTGTATACGGAATAAATTTCAATAACCAAAAAATACTATTCTTAAGAGTGCTCAATACAGACCAAATATAATTTATTCGAAAATTATAGCATAAATATGATATAAAATTACTACAAAAATAGCCATTTTGTTTCAACACTTCTGATGTCTTATCAGGGATTTTTTCGAGCTACCTAACTGACGGGCTTGTGGGAATGAATGGCGAAACGTGGGGGTCTTAGAAAAGGAGATAAATGCTGAGCGCCACACCAGATAGGAAGTTGTGGAGTGCCATGATCGCCTATGTCCTGAAGGGACGTTGCACATAGAAGAAGATAAAAATGTTTATGTGAAAGTATCATTGTATCTCCTTGGTGCTGATCATAATCCTTATATAAGAGTCCCTAAATTTCAAATCTCGAAACATCAGTATCCCAAAATTTAAAATCCCGAAAGATTAGAATTCCGAAAATTAAAATCCTGAGATATCGGAATCCCGAAAATTAAAATCCCGAAAAGTCAGTATCCAAAAATTTAAAATCCCGAAAGATAAAAATCCCGAAAGATCAGAACTCCGAAATTTAAAATCCTGAGACATCAGAATCCCGAAATTTAAAATCCCGAAAAATCAGTATCCCGAAATTTAAAATCTCGAAAGATCAGAATTTCGAAATCTAAAATCCTGAGACATCAGAATTCCGAAATTTAAAATCCCGAAAAGTCAGTATCCAGAAATTTAAAATCCCGAAAGATAAGAATCCTGAAATTTAAAATTCTGAAAGATCAGAATGCCGAAAAATAGTATTTGGTAGAAATTGAAAAAAAAAATTACACTGTTTTACGCTGTTTTCACTGGTACCATAGCTGCATGAATTTAAGCGTTCTACTTGGTTGGCATTTCGGTCCCAACATTTTACCGTCGAAAAAGTTAAATGTAACAGTCTTTTCTACTCCAACAGTTTCTTCTCTCGCACTTCACGACAGTGGAACTCTCTTCCTCTTACCTGCTTCCCTGTCAACTCTAATCTTCAAAAATTTAAATGTAATGTCAATCGACATCTTCTGATGCCTTGGTCTTGATCCCCATCATTCTCTTTACCCTATCCTCGACCCCCGCTTTTCTTTTATTTCCACTCTCTGTAACCCCCTTGCGTACTAGTGGCACTCCCACCTTGAATGTGGTAAAATGCTTAAAAAAAAAGAAGAAAAAAATTTAAAATAAATTAATTTATACTAATGATAATACGTCTCCAATTTCTCTTATTTTTTTCTATTTATTTTTAAAATTTTTATTTTGTAGCAACGTCGTGGGGTTGCGAAGGAAAACGTTGCTGTACAGGTTGTGGCCATCAAGAAGAATTCTTTGCCTGCGCTGATATCGCAATCAGGCCGCAACAAATATTTCAACAAACGACACCCATGATTACCCAAAAATGCATGGCCAAATTTCCTTGGCGAAACAACCCCAAGGCAACGCCATGGTGCATAAAATACTGCAACCAAAACCTTTGCAATGAAAGGTTCTGTGAAAAATCCTGCTTTAGAACAAAAATATTGCAGCCAGCTTCCATCTTCTCAAAAAGATTAGAAAATATATTTTGGGACGATCTTATTGAAGCAAGTAACAGTAGTATTAAAGCAGATGTTGACTAAAGAAACGTGTAATTGATAAGTGACAGGCATCCTTTGAATTTTACCAAATACTATATATTGTGATATGCAGTGACAGTGATTCAGGAAAGGTCTTCATGGACATATATATATATATATATATATATATATATATATATATATATATATATATATATATATATTTGATAGTTGTATATTTAGGCAGCAATCCTTTCTTTATGCATGTTTCATTGCTTTCATGAGCTTTTTATTTAATTTTTCTTGTGTTCTGACAAGAGCTTTCTTTTCTGGACACACTGAACATACAGAACGCACACACTCTACTAAGCTGATAATCGAATCATCCTTGATAATGGCTAAAGGTATAGCCGAAAACGCTTGGAAATATAAAACATTTGGACAGTTCTTACACACCTTTTGTCCAGAAAAGAAAGCTCTTGTCAGAACACAAGAAAAATTAAATAAAAAGCTCAACCGTAGTACCTTGTCTGTCGTTTTTAATGAAACATGCATATATATATATATATATATATATATATATATATATATATATATATCGAATATATTTCCAATCCTTTCTTTATGCATGTTTCATTAAAACGACAGACAAGGTACTACGGTGGAGCTTTTTTATTTAATTTTTCTTGTGTTCTGACAAGAGCTTTCTTTTCTGGACACACTGAACATACACAGAAAACTACTTTGATAATCGAATCATCCTTGATAATGGCTAAAGGTATAGCCGAAAGCGCTCTCGGAAATATAAAACATTTGGACAGTTCTTCACAGAAAAGAAAGCTCTTGTCAGAACACAAGAAAAATTAAATAAAAAGCTCAACCGTAGTACCTTGTCTGTCGTTTTTAATGAAACATGCATATATATATATATATATATATATATATATATATATATATATATATATATATATATATATATATATATGTCAAGACGTGTTTTACCATTCATGATTAAAAGAGCTCAACAGAGCTGAAATCGAGGGAAGACTAAATATTGTAATATAAAATATAAAAACAGATGAGAAGCATGTGATGAAATAAAGGTGGAAAGATCAGATGGAAATCATGTCAAGTCCTAACAAAATTTTCAATATTGCAATATTTAGCCTTCTCTCGATTTCAGCTCTGTTGAGTGAGGGCGAAACAGGTCGGCTGGTCAATTTTTAAAAAAATTATTTTTCCTCTTTTCCTTTTAATCATGAATGGTAAAGCACGTCTTGCTATTTTTATTTCTATAATAAAATTTTGTATCCTCAAGAAAATAATGAAATATATATATGTATATATATATATATATAATTAAGTTAAGTAAAAGTTTTGTCAATTAGCTGATTGATGTTGCCTTCAGCATCCCGACTCCACAGTTTCGTAGGCGGAACCGTCCGTCCACTCTTCAGGGGATATCAGCAATACGGACATGTGCGTTTTTACATATTTGATCTCAATCGCAATAAAATCTGGAAAAAAAATGTCTGATTTTATTTTTTGCGTTATCGTCTGTTTTTCTTACCCAATGTTTAAAGTACGTCTTGTCATGGCGTACTTCTTTACTGACATCTTGTTTTTCTTCCTTTCTTTCTTCTTTTCTACCTTAGTCTTGTATTTCTATCTTCAGTAATTCTTTCTTTCTTTCTTTCTTCCATTCATTCATTCATTCATTCTTTCTTTCTTTCATTGTTTGTTTGTTTGTTTCTTTCTCTTTTCATTCTTTCTTTCTTTCTTCTTTCTTTCTTACTTTCTTTCTTTCATCCTTTGTTTGTTTCATTCATTCATTCATTCTTTCTTTCGTTCATCTTTTTTTGTTTGTTTCTTTCTTTCTTTTATTCATTCATGCATTCTTTTTTCTTTCTTTTTTTCAGCCTTTCTTTCATTCATTGTTTGTTTGTTTGTTTCTTTCTTTCTCTTTTCATTCTTTCTTTCTTTCATCCTTTGTTTGTTTCATTCATTCATTCACTCATTCATTCATTCTTTCATCCTTTTTTTCTTTGTTTGTTTCTTTCAGTCATCCTTTTTTCTTTCTTTTTCATTCTTTCTTTCTCTTTTCTTTCTTTCTTTCTTTCTTTCTTTCCTTCTTTCTTTCTTTCTTTCATCCTTTGTTTGTTTGTTTCTTTTTTTCCTTTCTTTCATCCTTTGTTTGTTTGTTTGTTTCTTTCTTTCTTTCATTTATTCATTCTTTTTTCTTTCTTTCTTTTTCTTTTCATCCTTTCATTCATTCATTCATTCATTCTTTGCACTATTTTTACTCAATGCATATATTTTTCTTTCTTACTCCTTTTATTCTTAATTATTGGCCAACGTTTAGGCATTGTTACAGAGATTAGTAATAATAAACCTAAATTCTTCATCCAACTTAATCTTAAAACAGATCCTTAAGGCCTTATGGGTAAGGATAAAATTGCTGAAATCAATAAAGTTAAACCTGCTATAGTACAAAGATGTCCCGTGTATCTGCGCCTTCCTTGGCTGGGTAATATCAGTGATAGATATGCTAAGCAGGTTTTTTTTGGCAGTTCCACATTGTTAGGCTTATGTGGTAACAGAGAAACAGTCCACAACTTTGGTGTGGACCGTTTTCCTATTTTGTCTCGGTCACACTCATTATATCATCTCAAGGTCCTAGAGTCCCTATATATCAGATTCCGCAAGCCTTCTCTCTGTAAATAGAGGGATCGTTTGCTGGGTCTGAATATTATTGGTCTTTTGTTTTCCTTGAATATTTTTTCTTCGCCCACATGAGTCATTCTATATATTAATTAATACATTTGTCTTTTTAATTCCCAGAATAAAACTTGATCAGCGGGGACGAAACAGGTTGTTTTTAGTTATTAAATTTACACCAATAAATTAACAAATCGCTCTCGCTAAAATAACCGTTAGAACTAATAAAAATAAACATAAATAAGCAAAAACAATTAAAAATAATCAATCCAAATAAATAAATAAATAAAATAATAAACAAATTAAAAACTGTGCCCCGCCAAAATAACAGAATAGACTTCGGCAACCAACTCCAAAATTGGACGAATAAATAGCTTTATCATCCTATACCAAAACAAACTATTAAATAAGCGACCTAAACAAATCCCCCTACCAATTTTTTAGTATGTTAATAAAACATCGAAAACCGAACAGAATAAATAAATATATAAAATAAAAATGAAAATAAAAAACAAATAAAATAAATTAACACAAATAAATAAAAAAATAAATAAACAAGACACTCCCACCAAAACAACCGCCAGAATGGATTACCCACAATGCACCACTGACCCATATATATAAATAGTCGAGAAAAAATCGAACACTCGCGGCCTGACGATTGCCTCTAGCATAAAACAGCCTCAATGTTCAATGTTCTTATATATATATATATATATATATATATATATATATATATATATATATATATATATATATATATATATATATCACTATTACCATTTTTGTCGCAAGAGAATAGTATTGTATTTTATGCAATACGTGGTTCATGGTGAACTCAGATATCCCCCGGAGAGGAAACAAGACACGCCTTGTCACTACAGCATCTTATGTGAAAATAGAGATCCTAGAGAGAGATGGTTTGTGAAAATAGAGCTCCTAGAGAGAGAGAGAGAGAGAGAAATAGTTTGTGAAAATAGAGATCCTAGAGAGAGAAATGGTTTGTTTCTTACTGCTTTATACAACGCCATTTAGCTGGCGTTAGGAAGAGTTCCTAACATACAAGGTAAGGTAAACCCACAATAAGATAGCTTCATTGCTTTCATTGTCTTTACCTGGGCTTGAACATTAATCTTTTTAACTGGTGAGAAATTCTCGCGCTCACTTTAATTATAAATCCAGTTAGTCCCAAGTGACTTTATCATTCTAGCTCTAGTTTTACTATCTTCGCAATCATTGGCCGACTATAAAGACATACACACCTGCAAAGATAAAACAATGCGATCGCAAACTTTGAGAAATGCAACGATCAATGTGCCCAATATGAGATCGAACAAAAGATAATATTTTCAGGAGGAGAGAAGACGTCAATTCGTCCAGTGAGAGAGGCTTGAATAAACATCTTATCTTTCATGGACGCCTCGTCAGAACCAAAGAATCTATTTGCACTTATTCGAACAGACAGACGCTTAAAGGAATGTATTAATCACTGCGCATGCCCGGTATTAGCGACCGCTCATTGGTTACTTAACCCGTGACTTCCTTTCAGTAATCTCCATGAATCCGTTACTGTCTGACATCAACATCCGGATACGCATGCAAATGGCGTCTTTCCCATCTACGTTGTAACAGCGTAGTGACAGAATTGAGATGCTTAATAAGTCAAGGTTGATTCTAACTGGTTTGGAGATTTTATTCTCATATGTGTTGTGTCCGTTCATGCCTCTCCACAGCTTCCTACCCTTTTTGGTACATAGCAGCATTTCCCCCTTTGTCAAGCCTCCAGTCGTTCGTTTCACACAAGCTTGTTATTTTTACATTTTTTTCATCATTTCACCTCAAACAAGGCAATAAAGCAACTAGGATGCAAGAGGTTACTGAGTGTTAGAGAATATGAGAAAAACTACTATTAAGGAGAGAAGACAATAAAAGAACAAGAATTAAGAAGACAGAAGATAACGATTGACATTGCATTTCAATTTTTGAAGATCAAAGGCAATAAAGCCACTAGGATGCAAAGGGTTACTGAGTGTTAGAGAATATGAGAAAAACTACTATTAAGGAGAGAAGACAACAAAAGAACAAAAGTTAAAAAGACAGATTAATACTGCATTTAAATTTTTGAAACTTTGAAGATTGCATTTAAGTATTGCATTAATATTTAAGCTTACTTTTAAAAGTTCAATGATAATTCTTCTGCCCTACTTAATTTAAAGACTATTTGATGTACGTAGGTCCTTACTTTCCGTACAAATAATTATTTTTATCTCATGGATGACTTTCGCTTGATTTCGCAATTAATTTCCATTATTCCCAAATTCATTTCCAAGTTATAAAAACTGTTATCGTACAAAAAAATTCGTCGCAAAAAATCACATAAAAAATCGCCGAAAACAATTGTAGTAAAGAAAAGATGGGGACAGAACTCACAACTCTTTGAGTCAATTCACTGGATTCAACCAACCCTTTTATCGACTGGGTCATGTGTCCTTTTTCTTTTTCTCATATTTTTTATACCCAGTAACCCCTTGCATCTTAGTGGATTTATTGCCTTGCTTGTGCCGAAATTATTTAAAAAATGTCTTAACAAACTTAGCTAAAGAAAAGGTTTTTAATGTAAAAATTGTTCACTACAACAGTGCTAATAGCCGTAGGAAACATTTGGCACAATACAAAAAAAGTGTGTAATTGATTTAATTAATTTAATGTAACTGAAATTTAATCTAAATTTTTATATTAATCTAAAAAAGTAAAAAAATCTCTATCGGTCCTTTTAATATTTTTATACACCTGAATTCTAATGTAAAGTTTTGAAATAAGTTTTTTTTTCTTCAAATCATGACAAACATCGATCCATTTTTTTCTTTTTTTCTCCTTTACCTTTTAATTACAGTAGAATCCCTGACAACCGAACTAAGAAGGCCTTCCGGATATGAGGAATTGGTTACAATGTCCGGATGTGAGGGGTTATATTTAGATTAAAATAAAAGAACTGAAATCAGGTTTAACATTTATTTTCAATATTTTATAGTAAACAAAATAAGCTAATGGTGAGTGAAATATAACGGAACTGATTTTAAGGAAAAAGAAATAAATTACGTAATATTAATGAAAATTCATTAAATTAAGTATGCCACGTATGCAAAACAAATAATCTGACGAGGAGTTTTTAAATTGCTGTTGCATGATGATTCTTTCTCTTCTAACGCCATTCTCAACTTTTTCGTTTTGTTTTTGTTCTTGAATTTTTTTAAAAGAAAGACACTTTTTAACTCTGCGTGCGTTATTGCAATCGTCATAGCTGAATGCTGGCTTTCTTTCCATATAACTGACAACCTTTTCAATAGCTTTTCAATTTCAATCCAGGTTTCATCACAATCATGTTTTTTTATTTCCTTGTTCATAATGACAGTAGTCTTTACTGAAAATTGTAGGAAAGTGGGATTGTTGCTCAAATACACACACACACACACAATATATATATATATATATATATATATATATATATATATATATATATATATATATATATACAGTAGAATCCCTGACAACCGGACCAAGAAAGCCTTCTGAATATGAGGAATTCGTTACAAAGTTCGGATATGAGGGGTTATATTTAGATTGAAATAAAGGAGAGTGAAATATAATGGAATTTATTTTAAGGAAAAAGAAATAAGTTATATAATGTTAATGAAAATTCATTAAATTAAGTCTGCCACGCATGCAAAACAAATAATGTAACGAGGATTTTTTAATCGTTGTTGCATGATGATACTTTCTCTTCTAATGCCATTCTCAACTTTTTTCGCATTTTGTTTTGCATTTTTTAAACGAAAGACACTTTTTGACTTTGCATGCGTTATTGCAATCGTCATAGCTGAATGCTGGCTTTCTTTCCATAAAACTGACAACCTTTTCAATAGCTTTTTCAATTTCAGTCCCGGTTTCATCACAATCATGCATCTCGTCGCTATCTTGTTGCAGATGTTTCTCGCTGTCATCCTTTCCTCTTATTCTCCATCATCTTTTGCACCAATACAAGCCATTAGGGTGAAATATGCATAAGCAATTATCCAAAGTAAATCTCCTGAAAAACAGAATTTTCAAATCAGTTACATACCACCTAAATAGTTCAAATATATACATCAAAATCATATCCGGATATACGGGATTCCGGATATAAGGCACTCCGGATATGAGAGATTCCGTATATGAGAGATTCTACTGTATATCATTTTCTTAATTATAACCACTATGTCGTAAAAAATCAGTTATCATTATTCTTTTGTTTTATTTTCGCCTAGTTGGCGTCTACCGAAATATCGACAATGTTGGCAAAGAAGATTGCCAACTATAAAGCAACTGTGTCTGTCTATATTTCATGAGATGAGGTATTATGTACACTATATGGATGTTAGTTATCAGTTATCTTCAACATTCTAACCACCTGAAGAAGGCCGGAGCGTACAACGGCCGAAACGTTGTCATAAATATGGCAACAAAGATGAGGATGAGAGTCCGAACAATGTAAATAGTGTACATAATACCTCATCTCAGAAACTGATGAAACTGACATCCATTAGACATGGCACGTGGAACTAGAACAGTCTACCCTAGCGAGCGAAATAAAGGGTCCAGTTCGACATTCCAACCACCTGAAGAAAGCCGGAGCGTACATCGGCCTAGAAGTTTTGATAAATATGGCAACAAAGATGAGAATGATAGTCTGAACAATGTTATAGTGTATAAAGTAGCAGTTGGTGGTGTGGAAAATGAAATTGGCCCGCCGAGTTGAAGGTGCCTCCGAGTCTATTACCTCTACATCGCACTAGGGCCCTCGGAAAAGGCAGGAATCTGGGGTTATAAGAGCATATCAGACTGAGGACCCTCGTCTTAGTTGGCTTTTCTAGAAGAAAGTCAGTGCCGGATTCAAAACAAAAAAGCAACGTGAAATCACTTCACTATCTTTTCCAAGAAAAGACAATGCATAAGAATAAAGGAAAAGGAAATCGTGGAAAGCCACGATCATGAATGGCTATGGCATTTAAGAAGAACATATATTGAATAGTGCCTTCATATTTTATTGTTTGTAATCCTCCAATATTTAATTAGTATTTTAATTTTTGAGATGAGTTATTGTTCAAATAATTCTGATCTTAATTACTATCGATACAACAGCCATATACCCGCTACCTAACTTCAGGCGACACACAAATTTTATAGGAGATGTCCGAGAAATAGAAGATATGTGTCATATAGCCTGATGTGCTATACTATTTAGCTACAGAGGAAACGTCTGCTTAAAAGCAGTAATTCGACTTTGCTAACCAGAAGCTTCCTCAAGAAGCATTATTATTGGTTCTGACCTGGCGGCTCGGCTTTAGTAACTTTCCGACCACCGTAACTTTGCTTCCCTGTGTCTTTCATATAAATACATTTATGATAATTGTTTGGATGAGGTCTTTGGTATGGTACCTAGAGTTTTTGAATTTAAGCGCTGTACGAGATTGGCAGCGAGATCTCATCAATTTACAGTTGAGATGGCGAGATATAGGCGTAAGTTCTATGATGACAGTTTATTTTCTCGGACTTCCCCCTTGTGGAACTCCCTTCCGGCTCCATACTTTCCAGCCAGTTTTAATCTGCAAAAATTTAAATGCAATGTCAATCGCTATCTACTGTCCTCCTGATTACTTTTTCCTCTTCCCACTCATTATTAATGTTTCTGTTCCTAATTCTTCCATACCCAGTATCCCATTGTGTCTTAGTGGCTTTACTCCCTTGTTTGTGGAATTCCCTTCCGGCTACATGCTTTCCAGTCAACTTCAATCTTCAAATATTTAAATGCAATATCAATCGCTATCTAGTGTCCTCTTGATTAATATTTCCTCTTCCTGCTCATTATTAATGTTTCTGTTCCTAATTCTTCCACATCCATTAACCACTTGGGTCTTAGCGGCTTTATTGCCTTGCTTATGGAACTCCCTTTTGACTCCATGCTTTCCAGCCAATTTTAATCTGCAAAAATTTAAATGCAATATCAATCGCTATCTATTGTCTTCCTGATTACTCTTTCCTCTTCCCACTTATTATTAAATGCATTTCAGAGAAGACGATAAACGTTTGCAACTTTCAAAAGAAGCCCATTTATTTCTGCCGGGTTTAATGCCAAGTCCAATCGCTATCTACTGTCCTCCGGATTACTCCCTTCTCTTTCTACCAATTATTGTTTCTTTTCCCAATTCTTCCACACCCAGTAACCCCTTTTAGTGGCTTTACTGCCTTGCATCGGGTGATACTGATTAATATACATACATACATACATACATACATACATACATACATATATATATATATATATATATATATATATATATTTGGTTGGATTGATGTGAGTTTCTGACCCTGGGTTTTGAAAAAGCGTGAAACCCAGGGTCACAAACTCACATCTATCCAATCAAATATGTTAGCTCTATCTCTGATATTGAGCGCTTTCTAATAAGTACCTCGTATATAATATATAAATAATTATATATATAATATATTACACACACACACACACACACACACACACACACACACACACACGCACACATACATATATTTATATTTATATTTATATACACACACTTTTCACCCCCCACATACATATATATATATATATATTATAATTATTAAAAAAAAATGATTCCATTGCGACACAGAAATTACTATGTTTCGAAAATGGTCAGCAGTATTTAAGTTTAATTCCAATATTAAACATTAACGAATGGGTGGCAGTTTCATCCTCAAGTCTTGTTTTGGAATCTAATTATAATCTAGGCTCTACTTGTGTATCGAGCACTGTTTTTTAAAAATATAAACAAAAATACTAAAGAACTTCGGATCATCACTCTAACAGTTATTTCCTATTATATCAACACACACACACAAACACGCGCGCGCGCACACACACACACACACACACACACATATATATTCTTTGGTCAGAAAGTTTGTTTGGTTAATTAACCCATTAACTGCCAAATTTTTTTAATGCACATTTTTGGCCCAGACTGGTGTCTTAGGAGTTTATCTATTCCTCATGTTTAATTTCAGTAGTTACCATTGTCATTTTTATAGAAACTAGAAAATCAAATATATATGTGTATAAAACATCAAAAAATAATATTGATTAGAAATAATAAAAAAAATACTTTTCAAAATAGTCATTATTTATGCAAAATTACGACAGAAAGTGTCTTCTTACGGCTAATAATAAAATCTTTAAAGGCTAAGTGTTGTAAAATATACCTCTGCAAATGCAGGAATAACATGTAGTGAGTTTAATTTTAACAGATTTTAACAGATTTAATTTTAACAGATCCCCAAATGGGGATCATAGCGAGGTAATGGGTTAAGTAAAGTTTCTACATAATAGCCGAATGTATCTGTTGCCCATCTGTGTATATGATTATATATATATATATATATATATATATATATATATATATATATATATGTGTGTGTGTGTGTGTGTGTGTGTGTGTGTGTGTACACGCAAACATAAAAATATTCATGGCTTCTGGAATTGATTAAAACCGAGAATACTTTCGATACCACCAAATAAATCTCATCCAGCCACGATAATTAAAAAACCTTGTTTTTCCCCGGGTTTGAACTCTGACCAATCGCGGTATACTTTGCGGGCGTCTGGATTAGTTTTCGATCTTTGAAACTTCTTTCTTGGCAAGATAATTAAATAAGGATATACATTTCTTTCGTTTCTGATGCTGTTATCTGAGCGTCAGTATAAGAGTTCTCCAGTCTTCTCGAATTTCAGGTTCCCAAAGAATATGCTGGCATTTAACTGAGCCGCAACAAACGCCGGCAGTGTATTAAGCGTGTCGCCTATTTTTGTCTTGGAGATCTCTGATCAGATTTTAAGAGATTTCGAATCGCATAGCCAATATTCACAAGTCAGAGTAACATGAAACTTCCTTTTTAGGATTTGCTATTAATTGGAAAACATGGCATTGCAAACGTAACGAGAGAAAACTGAAGGCGGAGGGGTGAGGTTAAACAGAAAAAGAGAATTATTGCGTTAGTTTCAGCGTTGAAAGTGTTGATTATTTTATACTGATACCAGAGGTCCCTTTTCGAGCGCGCTTAAGCAGATGAGAATTTACAGGCGCAACATAATCTTCTTAAATTCCTTTTGATCTTGCACTTGATTAATTTAAAATTATTTTTGATTGGTTCACTTTGTCGAGTCATCAGAATTTACCATCTACTATTTGTCTGTACATTGAATATAACCGCCATCTTTAAGATTAATTCACTAAAACCAGAAAATATTTTTAGATTGAAATAATTGTGGACGTGGGGGGATACTAATTAAGCCATAGCTAGGGGGAGAAGAAGTGGATTCATAGCTAAACGGAATTTAATAAAGATTTTATAATGTGGATATAAAATGGGGGATCAATTCTACATAGAACTCAATATGTAAACTGAGCCCCCACTTTGTGGACACGATAGTTTGTATACATTAATATTCCAGAGAATGTAAGCTAATCAGTATTTTATGATTGATTGATTCGTTTTCTACGGTTTATCAACCCTTTGCAAGTTATTTAAAGCCAGAAATTGTAATGTGGATATAAAGTGGGGGATCAATTCTATATTGCAATCAATATTCAAACTGATCCCTCACTTTGTGGCCACAGTAGTTTCTATACATTTATATTCCAGAGAATGTAAATAAATCTAAAAGACATGCCTGTGTAGCTAATCAATATTTTATTTATTGATTTATTCGTTTTCTACGGCTTATCAACCTTTTGCAGGTTATTTAAAGCCAGAAAATATTTTTAGATTGTAAGAATTTTTTATTTTATTTTGGAGATAATAATGATTAATAAGTCTTACTAATTAACCCATAGCTGGGGGGAGAATAGGTGGATTCTTACCTTTCCCAAGGGTATTTGCGCGTAAGTGAATATAACGAACCCAAATGGAATTGGAACTCCGTTACATCACCCGCACATCCAAGCTTACAACACCTGGTATTCCCAAAGCGGTCATCCATCTTGGTAGTGACCAGGACGTTGCTTAAAAATCAAGCAAGCATTGAAATGTAATAAACTAGATAGTGTAGTAAGAGACGACGAAATTAAATTCAGTAGTTCGATCTAGAAAAAAGCACACTGTGAAAATACTGATCTTCAAGGCAATAATTTTCTTTGAAAAAAAATCTATTTGAACGACAGATGCAACCGCTAAAACCCACTTAATGTTGACATTGTGCAAGACAAATTTAACTTTATTTTGTAGTTTGAAGCCAGATAAAAGCATAGAATTTCGAAAGCTTATCTTCAAGATAGCAATTCTCTTCCTATTTGGAAGACATGAGCAACTGTTAGGACTCATTTAATGTTGGCCTTGTACCAGACGAATTTATATTTAGTTCGAAACCAGATTAAAGCACAGAATTTAGAATGCTAAGCTTCAAAGCAGGAAGGTTCTTTTTTCCATTTGAAAGATTGGCGCAGCACAATCTTTCCTGGATTTTCAATGCCGATTTTCATAGTAAAACAATCACCATTCCGTTTTTTTTTTTTTACTAAACGTTCACCCACTACAATCCTTAAGAGCCACTGAAGATAGAGATTTAGTTAATGGGGTTCTTGTATGGATGTCGATTATATGCACGGATGCGTATGATAGGTAAGAATTGAACTTAGATATAAGGAGGTTAAGGTTGTACTGTTCGGGGAAGCACCCCCTCGGGGTAAGTTTCATAAAGTAGCGACTCTTAGAAAGAAGCTTCCAGACTGAAATGAATGAATATATATATATATATATATATATATATATAATCAAATGACAATTGGAAAAAAATCTTAGATTTTGCCGACGCGTTTCGTCTTCAAACTTTTTTAAGGTAAAAATGAAATCGAAATGTTTTTGTTGTTATAGTTACATTAAAAAAATCCCAATTTAAAAAGATAGACGCTTCTGTCTAAGCCTTTTTTTCTTGTTAATGTAAATTACCTTTATAGTAAGGGATTTTTATTTATTTTTTTTCCATGTCGACAATATAGTTAAATTCCCAGATCAATTCTGTAGACAAGACATGGAAAAAAAAATCCCTTACTATAAAGGTAATTTACATTAACCAGAAAAAAAGGCTTAGACAGAAGCGTCTATCTTTTTAAATTTGGATTTTTTAATGTAACAATAACAACAAAAACGTTTCGATTTCATTTTTGATTTGAAAAAGTCGGAAGACAAAACGCATCGGCAAAATTTAAGATTTTTTTCCAATTGTCATTTTATATCACTCTGTCTTGTCCACAGAATTCATCTGGGAATTTAACTATATATATATATATGTGTGTGTGTGCGTGTCTGTGCCTGTGAGTAAAATTCAACCACTTATCTTCCGGCTCGGAGTTGCACATATACAAATTCGTTCTGACAAGGTAAAATAAATCCATTGAATTTAAAAAGAGATACCCTATCAATTTTGAATTACGTTACATAATTTTACTATCTATCTATCTATCTATCTATCTATCTATCTATCTATCTATCTATCTATCTATGTCGGTTCAATGGAATAAGAAGTGGATTAGGAAGGGTCGCCCATGTGTATGTGTCATACTGGGTCTCAGCTTTAAAAGTCTGAACTGATAGAACTAAGGAATGTAGGTCGTCAGAACATATGCCGTGGAAATAGCGATAGATTGACGACGTTGCGTCTGTTGGCCAAAGAGTTTAAGGGTGGAAAATAATTCATCAGTCACTGAATCGTTTTTGAACTCTGAAAGAGACGGTTGGGCAACTCCAGCCCAGATATAGCAAACATACTCCATTTCTAGACTGATTGAACACTTTTAGAGACACGGCAAGACCGGTTAGAGTCAAGTACTTTCTGTAGCGGTATAAGGAGACAGCCACTTATCCGGAAAAGGTCAACTTAATCTTCCTGACTCTATACTTTCTCGATTTTGGTTTTACGCCAAACTAATTTTGTCTTCGCCAACGTCAAGAAGATCGTTGATTGAATGTTTGGCAACAGTGAGAAGGAAAGCAAATGACGAATGACTTAAGGGTTGAACTGATATGAAGATCTTTTTGATTGACGCTTTGGCTACTCTCCAAATAGAAGGGAGGACACGTTTATTCGGAGCTCAGAATTACAAACAGGAAAAATAAGGCTAATGATTTTGCATTGACTGGAAATACTTTTTATTTATAATAAAAAGCATATCTAATTACAACATAAAAATATATTGGCCAATGATTTTTACAATGAAAATGCATTGGCTAATGATTTTACTATGAAAATGCATTGGCCAATGATTTTTACTATGAAAATACATTGGCCAATGATTTTTACTATGAAAATGCATTGGAAATGATTTTTACTATAAAAATGCATTGGAAATAATTTTTACTATGAAAATGCATTGGAAATGATTTTTACTATGAAAATGCATTGGAAATGATTTTTACTATGAAAATGCATTGGAAATGATTTTTACTATGAAAATGCATTGAAATAATTTTTTACTATGAAAATGCATTGGCCAATAATTTTTATTATGAAAATGCATTGGCTAATGATTTTTACTATGAAAATGCATTGGAAATGATTTTTTACGATGAAAATGCATTGGCCATAGAATTGGAAATGATTTTTTACTATGAAAATGCATTGGCCAATGATTTTTACTATGAAAAATGCATTGGAAATGATTTTTTACTATGAAAAAAAATGATTTTTATTGGCATTCAATGATTTTTAATATGAAAATGATTTTTAATATGAAAATGCATTGGAAAGGATTTTTACTATGAAAATGCATTGGACAATGATTTTTAATATGAAAATGCATTGAAATGATTTTTTAATATGAAAATGCATTGAAATGATTTTTTAATATGAAAATGCATTGGAAATGATTTTTAATATGAAAATGCATTGGAAATGATTTTTACTATGAAAATGCATTGGACAATGATTTTTAATATGAAAATGCATTGGACAATTATTTTTAATATGAAAATGCATTGGAAATGATTTTTAATATGAAAATGCATTGGAAATGATTTTTAATATGAAAATGCATTGGCCGATGATTTTTACTATGAAAATCTATTGGCCCATGATTTTTCCTATGAAAATACATTGGCCATTGATTTTTATTAAGAAAATGCATTGGTCAATGATTTTTACTATGAAAATGCATTGGAAATGATTTTTACTATGACAATCCATTGACTAATGATTTTTACTATGAAAATACACTGGAAATGATTTTTACTATGAAAATGTATTGGCTCATGAATTTTGATATGAATATGCATTGGAAAGGATTTTTACTATGAAAATGCATTGGCCAATGATTATTACTATGAAAATGTCTAAGGAATAATTTTACAATGGAAATGCATACTAAATAACGTTAATATAATTTGTCTTACAAAAGAAAATGCGCTGGACATGTTTTACTATAAAAGTATATAATCTTAATCTCCTTCCTTGTCAATGCATTTAGTTAAGTAGTAAATTTTTTATCACGATTAAAAGATAAAAAATACAATAATAGTATCTATCTAGCCATCTGCATTATATATTATAGAATTCTATAAGCAGTAGTTTTAGGAGGAAATGACATTTGATTTATGAGCCTAGAAATAAATTTAACGCGGAGAATTCCGAAAATAGCGAACTTTAATAAATTCGTTAATTAAAATAACCACAAAAATAAAATCCGAAAATGATAAAAAGTTGTATGAGATCGGCAAAGTGAAACACAGAGAAATATCTGACGTCAAAAGTAAAATTTGTATCTTTAACGCTCCGATTTACACTGGCGTTCGTTGCATTTATATCCTGCCATTTAACAACCATTTAATCTTATATATAAAATCAGTGTATGTGTGTGTGTTTGAGTATGTGTGTCTCCAAGCAACCCCTCCGCTCCCACTGGTCCGATTTCAATGATTCATACCTCATTCAAAAGCCCTAGAAAAGATAGGCACAGGGAACGATTTTCGTTGAGCTCAGATTCAGCGTTGCTAGATTATGCGAGGTTAAAATATATATATTAATATGTTATAGTAGCCATTATCGTTGCTTTCATAGTTCAAGAGGAGTAACTCTCATTTTTCTTTTGTATTCAAAATTGCAGTGCACGTTATATTATAAACTAGCTTAAAAGCTACCCTATCGGGCGGCATTTAAGCTAGCTCCTGTAGAGGACTCTTGGTTTGGCCATTATCACAATAGCTGCGGAGGTGTAGATGCGATAGGCATCAATAAACTACAGAAGAACACAAAATTGATCACTGCATTTAAATATTGAATTAATATTTAAGCTTACCTTTTAAAAGTTCAACGATAATTCTTCTGCTGCCACATAATTTAAAAACGATTTGATGCACGTAGAACCTTATTTTCAGTACAAACAATTATTTTTATTTCATCAGTGACAAACCAGGGGACAATTTATAAGATAAAATTAATATAGCGTAAAGATGTGAAAATAAAATTTAGAATTACTTATACATTCAACATTTGAAGAGTTAGAGAAGCATAATAGCTAATTAAGTAAAAACCTATATTGTGGAATCTATGTAAATAAAGGCAAAATTGGAGTCCAATTATCCAACGAAATCTGGGGTTGAAAAGACCCAAATCTATTTTATAATAATTTATATGCGGTGTTTACTCATTTCCCCACGAGAATGAGATGTGACACAAGGTCGGATTAATGTGGGGACCTGAGCGCGTGCACCCGGACAGGGACAAAAATTCCCCTCAGCCCCCCGCAAACCGTCGGTTACGCTGGCCTCGGTGCGAGCACTGATCCCTCCCTCTTGTGCAATGGGAGGGCGCGGCCTCTGGCAGCTGTTCCCCAGGGCTGGGTACCTCTCAGTATTATTTTCTCAGTTGCCCCTCTGTCCTTTGACAGAGAAGCCCCTGAGCGCACACTCTGCCCAAGAGACGCAACTGAGAGATGATAAGTCTGCATTAAAATCCCTCCAAAGAGGGATTTATATGCGAAAGGTTCAATATCTGTATTATCTATTATCTACTTCTAGGTGATATCACTTTTCAGGTTTAACTAATTTGCATATTGATTTAAAAAAAAGTTTATTTCATTAATTAACTGTCCTTCATTAGTGTTCTTTTATTTAAGGATTGTTTTGATTTTCATATCAAAAATAGTTCTGTTTAGGAATATTGTCTTATATAGTAGAGAAAAGTGTTTGAAATTTGTATTTTACTTGGCCTTCAACAAGTTGGCATCTATTTGTAAAACTTTCCTTAACTATAATAAGCCAATTTATGAATGAAGTGTTCATTTAAAAATTTTTTTATCAAATATTTCAAGTAGTGAATATATTTTACTTTGCGAAGCGATAGCGGGCGGGTGAAGACTGCTACCATGTAACACACACACACACACACACACACACACACACACACACACACACACATATATATATATATATAGTAATGATAATACAGTATGGTAATCCGTAATAGAAATAGTTCTTGATTTTAACATGAAGTATATATTTTCATTTTTATTTGAGATTTTGTTTGTAAGTTTGAAAGAGTGAGAGCAGCTTTTTAAAGCTTTCATGAAATGAAAATTATAACCTACGGTGTTTTAAGTGCATGATATTAATTAATTAATAATAATAGTAATAGTAATGAAAATAATATATAAATATATATATATATATATATATATATATATATATATATATATATATCTTTTATAAGAGATACCTATTTTGAAAACATTACATAATCTGTTTCTCACTATCTATCTATCTATCTGTTCATATTATCTATCTATCTATCTATCTATCTATTATTGTTTGTTTTTATCAATCTAATTATCTTATCTAATATATATATCTATATCTATCTATATATAATATAATATATATATCTATATATATCTATCTAATCTAAGTCTGAGATCTATCTATCTATCTATCTATCTATCTATTATCTAATCTAATCTAAGTCTGCTCATATCTATCTATCTAATCTGTTCATATTCATTCATCTATCTTCTATCTATCTTATCTAAGTCTGCTCATATCTATGTATCTATCTATCTATCTAATCTAATCTAAGTCTGCTCATATCTATCTATCTATCTATCTATCTATCTATCTATCTATCTATCTATCTATCTAATCTAATCTAAGTCTGCTCATATCTATCTATCTATCTATCTAATCTAAGTCTGCTCATATCTATCTATCTATCTATCTATCTATCTATCTATCTAATCTAATCTAAGTCTGCTCATATCTATCTATCTATCTATCTATCTATCTAATCTAATCTAAGTCTGCTCATATCTATCTATCTATCTATCTATCTATCTATCTATCTATCTATCTATCTATCTATCTAATCTAAGTCTGCTCATATCTATCTATCTATCTATCTATCTATCTAATCTAATCTAAGTCTGCTCATATCTATCTATCTATCTATCTATCTATCTATCTATCTATCTATCTATCTGTGTCGTTGAACAAGACTTGTTAGGTAACCTTTGTTTAGTATTTTGCAATTTCTGTCTTGTATACGTACACGTGTCTTCTTTTCCCGGTTTGAATGGATGCAAAAATTGTTCGCCAAGTTATCACACTTGTGCAAGAAAAGCAAACTAACAAACAATGATCTAATCAGTCTTGTTAAATGAAATATATACTATATATCTATATATAATTCTATATACTAAAAAGTGATTGCTGCTCCCCACACTTATATATACAGAATCCTCCAAAAAAATGTATACACTCTTCAGAAAAGAAAAAAAAACAACTTTTCTTACGTAGTTTTATCAAACTGAGATAACAATGTTTACTATAGTGCGATGTTTTCTCGACATATGACATTATATTGGCGGCGCTTAGATAAGAAATTGAAAATGTATGTGCAGCAGTTCTACAGACACTTTGGCTAACGCGGTCCAAGCAGAAGTTCTCCGTATTAATAAATGTCTGGAATCTAAAGGTCACCATTTTGAGCATCTCTTGTGATTGTCGTGTCTAAAAGTAACTCTTGTTGATTTGCATTAATCTCCCAAATTTAATATTGAAATATCATTTAAGCATTTCACTCAAGCAAGGCGGGCGTGCCACTAGTACGTAAGGGAAAACACTAGGTATAGTGGGGGTTGAGGAGAGGATAAAAAGAAGAACAGGGATCAAGCCGACAGAAGATGTCGATTAACATTACATTTAAATTTTTGAAGATTATAGTTATCAAGGAAGCAAGTAAGAGGAAGGGAGTTCCACTGCCGGAAAGTGCGAGAGAAGAATCTGTTGGAGTAGAAGAGGTGGTTACATTTAACTGTTTCGTTAGTAAAAGAGTGGGACCGACATGCCAATCTAGTAGCACGCTTAAATTCGTGCAGTCGGGGTGTCCGTGCAGATGCTATGAAAATATTTATAGAAAAGACAGAGGGAAGCCGCATTACATGGGTGAGAGAGTGATTGGTATCGAGACCCCAAGCCAGGACCGATCACATTGTATATCAGTTTTGGGATTTTGTCAAGAACCTCGAGATGAAAAGTGGGGTCACAAGACCATATATGGCAACAATATTCAATGCAAGGACGAATGGTTGATTTGTAGATTTGAAATATGGACTCAAACGAGTAAAACCTTCTGGAGTGTCACAGTGGACCAACTTTCCTTGCGGTAGATGCAGCTATTGATTCAATATAGTTGTTACACCGCAGGTCAGTTGAAAACGTGAGATCAAGAAGGCGCAATGAGGTGCTCTCGTGGAGATGAGCATCAACCACGCTGTATATATATATATATATATATATATATATATATATATAATAATTTTTAAAAGTAATCAAACAAATCGACTATGGTAAGATTCGAAAAACCACTCGGCCCATAATCTGTATCTATAAAAGGCAGGGTGTGTGTGTGTGCAACGAATGCACAGCCGCAATTTTCGACGGATTTGCACCAAAAATTTACATGCACATGCTCCTAGTTAGCGGGTAGGCCAAGACCGACTTTGCATTTCCCAACTGCCATCGATAGTGGAAATAATCGAATTTTTCATGCAGTTTGCGGCCATTTTGTACGGGCCAGAGTGAGAGCCTATAGCTGGCTGCCACGAATAGGCAAGAAAATTCTATTCGCCAGCGTGAGAGCCAGCAGCTGACTGACACGAATGTTAACTAGCATGCAAAAAAAAAAAATCGTCATTCAAGTGGGAAAAATTAAAATCTGCATGGCACTTTACTCCAATTGGCTCATTCACTTGCTTAAACTCAACATTGATTCTGATTCCGCAGAACTGGGTTGGGTGTGAAAAAGTATTTGTTGTTAACATTCTTTTTTCATTCGGTTTTTCCAGTTACGAGTCCTTTTTTTAAAGCTGATCGTTTTGTGTTCATTTTGTTTAGTTCTTTTTTTCGTAACAGATTTAATTTTTAGTATAGAGCTTAGAAAAAAAATTGGCAGTGTGAGATAGGCAAGAAGTAAGGCATGTAGCAACATCAGCACGGCAAAGGGCACTCCTTTAAAAGGCAAGGAAGGGCAAAAATATTTTAAGTCAAGTGATAGCGATTGCTGTATGAGTCGTGCGATTTTTGAATCAAGCACGTGCAACGCCGAGCCATGCTGTTAGTATATATATATATATATATATATATATATATATATATATATATGTAATTTTTAAAAGTATATTTTAATAATATTTCATCTAAGTTTTTAAAAATTTCCATTATAAGTTGTTGATAAAGTTTTTCATTTTAGAAAAAAATTAGAAAATAGAATTTATATCTGCCTTGTGAAAATTCAGTTATAAGTTATCAGAAAAATATCAGAGTGTTTACGTTTAAAGAAAACATAAAAGGAGTGTGATTTTGGCTTCTAAAAGCATTTTGTTAAGAAACAGACATAAACCATTCTTAAAAAATATTAAAATGGTTTATAGAAATCATTAATTTTTAAGCCCGGTAATCTTAGTTACAGTCACATCTCCTGCCATACACATAGTAACCATTGTTTCAGACAATACAATGTTAGTATCAAGTTACTCTCATCTATGAACAATAGTTGACTTATATTTTGCAATGAAAGTTCGTGGAAGTAAGGAAATTAGTGAATTTCAACGAGAGCAAATAATAGGATGACATCAGTGTGGCAAGTCAAATAGAGAAATTGCTAGGTTTTTCCAGGTTAATCATCAAATGGTTAATAATATTGTCAAGAAATTTAATGAAGAAAGCTATTGTCGTGTGGAACAACGTTCAGGAAGACCAAACATTGTGTCTGAGCGAACGAAAATTGCGCTGAAGGGGGAAGCCATCAGAAACCGTCGCCAGAGCGTCAAAGATGTCGCCAACAACATGGAAATGTCATATGCGGTGAGAAAGACTCTGAAAGAGCTAGGCTATCAAAGAAGAGTTGCAAGAAAGAAGCCCTTGATTTCAGAGGTTAACAGGTACAGGTGTATGGACTGGGCGAGAGAATTCGAGAGCAAAGTTTATGAATTTTGGCAGTCTCTAATTTAGTCAGATGAAAGTAAATTCTGCCAATATTCGAATTCGAGACAGGTTTATGTTTGGAGAAATCAAAATGAGACTTGGAACACTGAATGTCTGCAGGCGACCGTGAAACATGGAGTGATTGGAGTAATGGTGTGGGGCGGTGTCTGGTTTGTAGATAAATCTGAGAGGATTCTTGTTTTTCGAGCAGTTCAATGGTCCAAAATACTGACAAATATTAGAGAAAGAACTACTCCCACTATTCGAAACCAATCCGATTGACAAGAATGTCTACTTTTTTCAAGAAGATGGTGCGCCATGTCATACAAGCAAAGTAGCAAAAGCCTGGAAGGAATCGCAAGGAATCAAGTCACTAATAACTGAGACCCATTAAAACATGGCACGTGGAACTAGAACAGTCTACACCAGTGAGCGAAATATAGGGTTCAGTTCGACATTCCAATCACCTGAAGAAGGACGGAGCGTACAACGGCCGGAACGCTGTAATAAATATGGTGACAAAGATGAGGAAAATAGTCCGAATAATGTAAATAGTGTATTATTATTATTATTATTATTAAAGAAGTAAAGACATGTATTTGTAAGACATGTAACTAGAATAATATAGTGAACACACGTCGTTAAATGTATCCGGCAGACGTTTATGACGTGGGGTTCAGGAGTAAATAAACAATTATTTTACATATAACAAATTTATTTTATTATTATTTTCTTTTCTTTCATTTCTGGTGTGTACATATTTCTTTACATAATTAAATTTTGAAATTGAAAGTAGTTTATCTCTCCTGGCTATAAACTTTTCTTAGGCCACTGTTATATATATATATATATATATATATATATATATATATATATATATATATATATATATATACTTTAAGCCAAAAGTATGTGACTACCCAGTGGATTAAATAATTGGGAAGTTTTGTATATTCTTTAGTTGAATTAATTTAACCAATTAGTGCATTAGAGAGGAGATTATCGAAAATTTTCAATACGCAAGATTAACATTATCCAGGATTATAGATTAGGCAAAAAAGGCTAAATCTTTTAGGAAATTTTATGCAGTAATAAGTCAATTTAATTATTATTGAATATATGCTAATAAAAACTTCAGGAGGGTAAAGCCCTTTGACTCGAGATAAGAATTAATTGATATTTATAATGGTAATATTAGCCGTTTCCTTATAAGGACACATTAGGCACCGAACTGCCATTGTTGTTGTCAGTTGAAATTATAAAATCTTTCACTTAAACAATTCTTCAGAAAAATAGCTTACTCAATTTCAGTAGCTGTTATATCTCTTTCCATTCTTGACGGGGGTTTCTTCAGTTTTGAAAATGGTGTTGCGGGTCAGTGTATTTGTTGTGTTAGGGTTGAGAAATAAACACATGTGTCTCCTGAAATGCCCACAACAAACGTGGCAGACTCGGAATATATATATATATATATATATATATATACCCGCTCCAAGCGCTTAGCAGTTTTCAATCTGCTTGTCTGAATCATCTTCAACGAGCGAGAGCAAGATCTAAAAGGTCAGTCAATCTAACAGTGATCTCATCTCACAATCCTCATTCTTGCTCCATATGTGGCCTCCTTTGTAAATCACTTAATTACTTAAGATTATGGCACAAAATTTCATAAATGAATCAATTAAGCTGTCAGATCCTTATACGTCGAAACCCACGGGAGAGTCCATTATATATATATATATATATATATATATATATATATATATATATATATATATATATATATATTCACACAAAACTAATGCAAAGGTTAATGCTTTAAATGGCGAGACATCCATCATCGCAAACAATTCAAATAGTATACAAAAACCTCCAGATCCGTCATGAATGAATTGATCCTGGTTTATATAAATTTACTAAGAGAAAAAACCAAGAACAACATCTATTCTATACCTGAAGATGTCTGTAGGAACAGACGAAAGCTTGTAGTAAAAATAACAACTTATACGGCAGAAATTTATATAAACAAGGATCAATTCATTCATAACGGATCTGGAGGTTTTGTATACTATTTGAATTGTTTGCGATGATGGATGTCTCGGCATTTAAAGCATTAACCTTGCATTAGTTTTAATGAATAATTCATGTATTTGTAAATTGATTGCACGTTTATCGTAATATATATATATATATATATATATATATATATATACAAACAGATAAATATGTATTAGCAAGAAAAGTACACAGATGACAATAACTAAGATGTGTGTAACAAAAAGAATGTGAAAACATTTAAAGTTCAAAGTATGTGCAATGAGTGAAAGTGCCTACGTACGTGTATATATGTATCTATATATGTATTTGTTGTGTATGATACACCTAATTTACATAAGTGGAGTACCGACCATATAAATATGGGTTGGTACCGGAAGACGACGGAAGGTTAAGAGACCTTTTTTTTCGACCGTTTCTTCAGAGACCGGTGCTAGACGACTGTCTACCAAAGGACTATTTTTTCAACCCACTGCCTTAATTTAGCAGGAACAGTTAAATTTGTCATTTTTCGAACTTTCTTATTTTGACCTTTAAATTTTTCCTTTTCATTTCCTTTCCTTTTAACCGTTACTTCTTTTTTTTTGTTATTAATTATTTCTGTTTTGATTTTTATTTACGTTTTTGCTTTTCCGTGTTAAGTCTTTTTTTTTCAGTACCCACATGTTTTTCTGTTTATTTTTTCGTTTCTCGTTTAACCTTTTTATTTTTACGTGTTAATTATTTCTGTGTTACCCGTTTAAAAAAAAAAAAATCTACGTGTTTATAATATTTGTTTGTCCCTCCTTTTTTAACGTTATTGGGTTGACCGTTTTTAGCGGCAGCCATTTTGTAATTTGTAACTTTTTTTTGTTTCGTACGTATTACGTTTTCTTTTTTCTCCGTTTAAAATTAGTTTTTAATTTGAAGCTTGCTTGTCTGTTGAATTTGCGTTCTTTCTTCGTCTTTGAGAAACTTGTTCACATTTTCTCGTCTGTCCACTTGTTTTACCTGTTTATAATTTTGGTTATATTTTTTTTGCACACGTCCTTCTGTATTATTGTCTGTTTAAATTGTTGTTAAGCAGCGGTTTTTTACCCTCCCCTTTTATTTATTAACCCTCCCTCAATGACAAGGCGGTTTCCCAACCGTATTTACCCCTCCCTTCCTTATTATTTAATTATGGATAAGAAAAAGGAAAAAAAGCCACCCTCCTTTTGGCCGTCTTTAAAAAGGCTATACGTAAACATCTTTTTAATGCTACTAAGAAAGATCCCCGGATTATAACTTAGAGGAATTTCCTGCCTTAGAGTTTTTAGCAACATTGATGCTGCTGGGGAAAAAGAAAATGAAAAGAAAAAAAAATAATAATATTTCTACGGAAGCCGAAAATGGCAATAATGAAAAGGATTCACCTATGGAGGCCAATAATGGCCAAATTTCCAGAAAAAAAGTACAGATTGAATAAACTGAGCCTGAGGCCGGGAATCGCCCTCTTGTTGGTCGTCCCCTCCAAAGTGCATTATCAATTTAGCGGAGTTCTTGGAACGAAAAAGTTTACGCACACCTTGTTGTAGATGGTGGACTTTTTGAAGACCCCCAAGAATTGAAAAAAAAACAAAAAGAATAGTGTCGGTTTTCGTCGTGGACAAGCGTACGCGCAAAATTTGTCGCTCGACGAAAACACAGTGTTAAAAGCATTGGAATCCTTCGGGTTCAAGCCCCTTAGAATAGTTAAGTGCTAAATTTTTCATGTGGGACGTACTGTTGCCCACATCAGAAGATTGCGTCGCCGCGGCTAGCCGTGAGCTAATTAATAAAGAAATAATACTGCGTATCGGTACGAAGGCCGACGAAGACCAGATTAACGGTATACGAGGTCCCTCCTCAGGTTATCGGGGAACATCTCGCTGCGTTCTTCTCTCAGTATGGCGAAATTCTGGGAGCTTCCTGTGATAGCCTGAGCGGGGGTGGAGCTTTGACATCATGTTGGACGAGAAAGCCTTCCGCTCCATCCCCAACTGTCTGGATGTTGGCGTCTTGAAATTACCGGTCATTGTGACGGGTCGAAGACCGGTATGCTGGAGGTGTGGGGGTGACTGGTCATCTCTCCTCCTCCTGCCCAGAGAAGAAGGCCTCTGGAAGTCAAGCGCCAGTTACCCAAGATCCCCTCTGACCGCGTCTCTAAATTCCGCCTCGCCTGTAATGGGCGTACCAGCCTCCGGGACCGGGTCGGTTAATCCTCCGGTCGGCGCAACATCGAAAGCCACATTCCCCAAAGAGCCTTCGCCCGCTGCCGGTGCAGTTGTGGAGAAGGGGAGGGGAATGGCTGGTTGCTGGTAAGGCCAGAGGGAAGCGCCGGACAGCGGGTCCTCAGTCCCCTGAAGCCCCTTAGGAAGAAAGGCACATACAGTCCCACTCCCTCTAACAACGTTAAGGGCGATGCCCCGGCCTCGGAACTTTTTTTTCAAGAAAAACAAAAAATTTGATCCCGGTTATGAAAAGTCCGAGAAACTAAAAAGAATTAAAAAGAGGCTGGATTCGGAAAGAAAAAGAACCAAGCCCTTCTACGTCCTCTAGTAGACCTCCCCTTCTCCGAAGAAACAACCCCTTCATCGCCTGCTATTTCACCATCTAAGGCCAAACCCACAGTAGAGATCCCAGCCCCTATAGGCATAGATCTTTTTATACCCCCATGAACAGCTCCTTCCCCGTTAAACAAAACCCCACCCCTTCATACCCCCAAGCAATCACCAGCAAAAAATGCCGAGATCCTCCTGCTCCCAAGCGGCAAAGAAGCCCAACACAAAAAGAAGAAAAAAGATAGAAAGAAAAGATTTATTTTTTTCAACACAGGAGAGGAGGTACAATTTTGCCCAGGCCGAAAGAGCCCGGGACTATAGTAACAGGGTGAAAGACTTGAAGTTCCTGCTTTCTATTAAACAGTTTGCCGATCTTGATATCGAGGAGCCTAAAAACTTCCCAAATGCCCAGAGGGTCCTGACTGTTATTAGGTCAGGACCTGCAGCCAATCAAACGTGGGCGATGGTGGAGGAAGCTGTAAATGCCTGTAAGATGGCTTTGCCCATCGCCATAGTCGAAAACGAAAAATTAAAAAGTTACAACAGTTCTGTGCAGGGAGGGTCCCCGTTTTAGTTCACCCATCCCTGTATAGAGCTCTCTTAAATTGACCTTCCCTGGGATATCGGCGGTATCTCCCAAGACGGCACCATCAAGAATGAGATGGGCCATGGGTCTATGGAGACGCGGTCGGTATCCTTACCCCGGCCATGTTTAATGCTGGTAAGCAACCCTAATCGGACTTCTCATGTCTCTCTGGTTAGCTACGTTAAATGTGCGGGGCCTGAGGTCCGAGTCTCGCAGGGCGAGGCTCTCGTGACCTTCAGCGCCTCGGGGTGAATGTTTGTTGTGTGCAAGAGACCCATTTTTCTTCTCATGACCGTGAGGATATTCTGTCTAAGGGGTTCGCCCTTTTTTTCAGCATGTTTTGATGGTCGTTCGAGGGTGTCTCTTGGCTAGTGAGCAAGTCTTTGGAGGCTGCATGTTCCCTTGTCTTCGCAGATCCGGCGGGCAGGCTTTGCGTGCTGGATGTTACTATAAAGGATAAGGCTTTACGTCTCATTTTTATGCGCCCAATGTTCATGCTGAGCGGCCTTTTTTGTTTCGGCAGATCGAGCCGTTTTTGACGACTTCTCGTCGGGTAGTCTTTTTGGAATGCCGTTGACCCCGATATAGATCGTATAGGTGGTACTAACAATCCTGATGTGAAGGCATTTCGGGACTTTATCGACAGGTTTGATCTTGTCGATAAGTACCGGAATGAGCATAGGAGGTATGGACTTGGACAATGGTGGCAACTCGGCCAGTGGCTCGCTTGCGAGCTACCTGGACCGAGTGTTGTTAGGAGAGTCGTGTAGGGCTCTTGTGTCCAAGTTTCCATTGTATAGTTTATACGGATCATAGGCTTGTCCGGGTTGTAAACTTAGATAAACCAAGGTTAGATTGGCTGGTTACTGGAAATTTAACTGTTCATTTTTCGGTGAACAGGATTTCCGGGACCAGCTGCTACTAATGATTCAGAGGGAATTGACGGGGGCGGTTTAACGCCTGGTGGGGAAAATTAAAATCAAAAAATTAGAACGTTTTGCCGATTTTAGTCGTCGACTCAATCTAGATAGATTAGCGGCGCAAACGGCATTAGAAGATAAAGTTGATCGGGCCGTCAAATCCCGTGTTAGGGGGACATAGTCTTAGCTAAGGCAGAGTTGGCCTCCTTGCTTATCAAGAAGGATCAAGCTCTGGTAGTTAGGGCTAGGCTAAAAGAATGTCTTCTGAGGCGACGAATATGGCCGCAGAATTGCGTGCAGAGGAAAATCGGAACGCGGCTAAGCGACATATAGCGTGCGTCACATTGCCGGATAAGCGGACCGTGACTACAAGCGCGGGCATATGCGAGGCCTTTCGGCTTTATTTTCAGGATCTTTTCACCAGGGAGCCCGGTCTGAGCTCTGCTCAGTTCGATGCCTATTTGGCTGACTTTCCCTGCCTTGAGGCAGCTGAAGCGGCTAGGTGCGAGGGTCCCATAACAGAGTCGGAAATCTGGGATGCGCTGAAGCAGGTTGGCCTGGATAAGTCTCCAGGACTAGATGGACTTCCCTACGAAGTGTACTTGAGGCTGTCGCCCGTTTTGTTCCTTTGCTGCAGCTGATTTACAACCACTGGATGAGGCAGGGTCTTTACCTCGACGCTTCACCAGGTGTGTGATCGTTGTTGCGTAAGGACAAGAACGGTGGGGATGGGTTAGGGAACTTTCGCCCTTTGACGATGTTAAATACTGACTTAAAGATTTTGGCGAAGATCTTAGCCAACCGTTTGCAGCTTGTCCTGTCTCGTCTGATTGGCCCCGAACAGACTTGTGCTGTGAAGGGCAGGACGATTCAGGATAACCTTCATATGGTACGCTTGATCTTAGAACAAGTCGACAGTGAAGCCGCGCTGATCAATTTAGATCAGTCCAAGGCCTTCGATAGGGGTTGACCATCGGTTTTTGGAGGCTGTCCTGTCGGCGGCCGGTTTCGGAGCCGACTTTCGCTCCTGGATCCGGCTCTTGTATGCGACCCCGGTGCGCTGGTGGAAGTGAATAAGGTCGGAGCCTTTCGTATTGTCTCGCTCCATTCGTCAAGGTTGTCCGCTATCGCCCTTGCTTTACGTTCTTGCGTTGGAACCATTCCTTCGCAAGTTAAAGGCGAATCCGGTCCTGCGCGGAATTACCCTGCCTGGCGCTACCACCTCGGCCAGGTATTCTGCCTGCCCTGTTGACGACGTTTCGGCTCTTGTGTCGACTAGAGCCGAGATTGACGAAGTCAGCAAAGAAATAAGTGGGTATGAGATGGTGACAGGGGCCAGGATCAACCGTGATAAGTCTGTGGGCTTGCGGTTGGGTGCGTGGAAGGGAGTTTCTCTTCCCGGACCTTTTCCTCTGGACGGATGGGCCGATCAAGATACTCGGCGTCTGGTTCGGTCCTGATCTCCAGTTGGAAATGAACTGGTCGGAGGTACAAGGGAAGGCCGAGATCGCGGTTAATCTGTGGTCTCGGAGGAGACTTTCCCTGAAGGGAAGGGCGGAAGTATGTGTTTTGCACATCTATCCGATCCTCCTCTACCGACTCTCTGTGCTTCCACTCCCGTATGCCCGACTAATGCAATTAGTCAGGACCTTGTTCTCTTTCTTGTGGAGAGGCAAGGCCCAATGGTATCTCGCGAGGTTGTTGCCTCCATCCCTCTGAGGGCGGTCTGGGGATGCCTAGCATTGAGATCCGTCAATATATGCTTCGCATTACCTTTTCTAGACCGAATGTGTCGTGGGTCGAATGAGGAGGGTGCCTTTTGGAAAGAAGACGTCCAGAAACATTTTCCATCCCTGAAAAGTGTGCACTCGTGCGAACAAGAGGCCGGCCGTTTACCACGTGCCGAGTGCTCTTTTTATCGTGAATGTCGTCGACGCTCTGAAGCTCCTCTTACGGGTTTCGGATGGTCTCCAACGCCCAGGCGTTGTCTCGCAAGGCATTATATCAAGTTTTAGTTAGGGGGTCCGTAC